GACCCCGCCGTCGTCCCTGGTGGCACTCACAGCCCTGCGGGGAGCAAGAGGCAGGTTAGTATCCACCCCAGGGGGAATGGCATTCCCTCCCCGGGGGAGCCCGGGGGTAATCCCCATACCCCCACCCCAGTTGGCCGGATCCATCCCCCTCCCCGGCTCACCCGTGGTCCTCTCGCAGGCGGCGGTCCCCTTTTCATGGGCGAGGTTGAGGCGGTTCTGCTCAGCGGCGATGCCGTTGGCCTCAGGGCTGCTGCTGCGGGGAGGGGCGGGGGGGCGGGGGGGGGGGCTGAAGGTGGAAGGCCACCTCCAGGTGCTCCTGGGCCAGGCGCAGGTGCTCACGCAGGCGGTCCAGCTCATGCGCCGGGGGAGCCCCGGCCAGGGCGAAGCGCCCTGCCACCGCTGCCTGGGCCAGGCTCTCCCGGTAGTCCAGCTTGCCATCGGGCAGTGGGGCTCGTGGCGGCTCCTTCTTCAGCGAGTGGTAGGTGGGGGGTGCACCGGGGGCTTTCTTGGGGTACTGTGGCGTGGGGCTGCTGCCAGCCGGGAGCGGGGGCCCATCGGACTGGCTCAGGGCATCCCGGATGCGCCCCACACCAAGGTGCACGAGCTCACAGAGGTTGAGGAAGAGGCAGAGCCCGCTGACGGCATACATGATGAGGAGGAAGATGGTCTTCTCAGTGGGGCGGGAGACAAAGCAGTCGACGGTGTGCGGGCAGGGGCTGCGGCTGCAGACATAGGAGGGGCTCACCTCAAAGCGGTACAGCAGGTACTGCCCGAAGAGGAAAGCCGTCTCCAGCAGCGAGCGGCACAGCAAGTGCAGGACGTAGGCGCGCATCAGCCCATCCTGCTTGATGCGGCGTCGGCCATCATGCTTCTCTCCGCCCTCCGGGCTCTTCTCCTTCTCCACCTCGATCTCCTCAAAGATCATGGGGTCTTCTTCGTTATCATCCTCTGCCTCCTCGTAGTCCCGTCCGGCTCCCCGGCGCACCACCGGCATGCGTGCCCGCCGGGCTGCCGGTGCCCGGCGCCGTGAGGACTCGGGCATGCGGGCGATGCGGTGCATGGCGAAGCCCAGGTAGAGCACCGATGGCGTGGCCACCATGATGATCTGGAAGATCCAGAAGCGTACGTGGGAGAGCGGGGCGAAGGCGTCGTAGCAGACGTTCTCGCAGCCCGGCTGCTGCGTGTTGCAGACAAACTTGCTCTGCTCGTCGTAGTAGATGGACTCGCCCCCCACGGCTGTCAGCACAATGCGGAAGACGATGAGGACGGTCAGCCAGATCTTGCCCACGAAGGTTGAGTGGTTGTTGATCTCCTCCAGGAGCCGCGTCAGGAAACTCCAGCTCATCCTGGCTAGACAGTTGTCTCAAACCCTGCGGGGAAGGGGCAGGCAAACAGGCACTGAGCAAACCCACGTGCACCTCACCGGGCCCCCCAAACCACCAGCCACCACCCCAGCTCTGCCCCTCTCCCTCTCTCAGCACCGACGTCCCTTCCCTTACCCACAGGTCCACAAACACAGCTCTGCCCGGGCAGCCATCTCCCCAAAACCACATCCCCTGCCCAGCGCCGCCTCCCCATGCTCCCGTCTGCATCCTGCTCCCACCCTGCCACCAGCCAGGTAGGTGGAGGGGACCCGCGGAGCAGGGGAAAGGCTGGGACGTCCCCGTCCCCTGCAGGACGCATCTGGGGGAAGAGTCAGCACAACCACAGCCAGGGTAAACACGGCAGCACGGGGCAGCGCCAGCTGGGGAGGGCGAGGGGACAGGCAGGGGACAGAACCGCCTCCTCCGCCCCCGGTGCCAGGGCACCCGTCTGCCACCTGGTCCTGGGCAGGTCCCCAACCAGCGCCGCACCCTGTGCCAGCACCCACACCCTCCCACGGGGGTCCATGGGCCCCTGGAGGAAGGCAACACGCAGGCAGCACGGCAGGGTGCCAGCAGCTCCTCTGGCCCACTGCAGCTGCCAGCCCCAAGCCCTGGCCAAGGGGGGACTCCCCTGAGCAGCATCCCTCACCACATGCCCACAAGCCAGGTCCTCTGCACTGCACAGAGCCCTCCCTTGAGGGCCAGCAGAGATGCAGCATCACTCTGCCCCACCAAACCTCCGCGCTGTGCCCACCCTCCTGTGGGACCCCCACCCCCAATCCCTACGAGTTCCCGAAGCCCACGGTGGCTGGTGCTCAGAGCACCCCGCAGCCTGACGGCAAAGGCTGGCAGGGGAAGCGGAGCAGAAGGCAGGAGAGCGACGGCGAGGGGCAGCGTGGGGCGGTCAAGGAATTGCACAAACTCCTGGCGAAGCAGCTGACACCAGAGGTCGGGGAGGAAATTACGAGGACCATGCCACAGCTCCCGGCCAAAGGAGAAGATGCAAGAGCAGACACCCTACCGCCACCCCCGGTTTCAGCAGCTTGCACACGAGCTGATGCAAGGGCAGCAGGTGGCAGGGCTGCCTGGAGTGAGCAGAAGGGATGTGTCCCCATGGAGCCCCCAGCCTCCCCCACGCCTCGCCTGCCCTCTGGCCAGCCCCGTCCCATCACCTCCGGCCAGGGCATGTCCCTGCGGACGATGGCTCCTGCTGCACTCACGCCACTATTGTCCAGAATAAGAGGATCTTTTTGGCTTAGCTCAGCCTGCCTCCCAGGCAGAAAAGCCCCTCCAGCACAAGCACCTGCACTCAGGACGCACTCCCGCTGATGGCCTGGTGCTCGACACAGCCTGCTGAGCTGTGGGAGGTGGCACGAGCTGGCATCAGGGACCCAAACCCAGCCCATCAGGGCCACCATCCTCCTGTGGTCAAGCACCCTGCAAGGTCTCGCTGCAGCCCCATCTCCCCGGTGCAAGGCTCTCTCCCCCAGGACCCCACTGAAAGGAGGATGCTTTGTGTCTGCTTCTAGCCCTTGCCTGGCAGCAGCACACAGCCCTGGCCCCAGGGTGAGGGGCTGGAGCAGGGGACAAGACCTGGGGACCAGGCAGGAGTGCAGCCCCGGGAGCTGGTAAGCCCAGGAAAAGCGAAAGCACACACGTGGGCACTGCCGTAGCGGCCAAGGAGAGATGACACAGGGATGGACTGCAGCGTGGGTCAGGAGCTGCGGTGGGCACAGCTGGGGCAGAACAGAGCTCCCTGCGCCCATTCTCCCTGCCCCCCCCCAGGGCAGGTGGCCAGAGCCCAGCTCTCTGCCGAAGGGGCCAAGCCACCCACCGCCTCCCGGCTGCGCCGCGAGTCAGGGCCAGCACCACGTGCCTTGGCCAGGCCCTACATGTATGAGCCCAGCCCTACCGACCCCAGGTCCCCCTGCCTGGGGCCCCCAGGCCCCTCTGCCCCAGCCTGCCCTGCCGAGGGACCCCACCTCCCCAACCCACATCAGATCAGGGCCTCCTGCACCCCAGCACCGGGCAGCCCACCCTGGGGCTCGCGAGCCCCTGCCTGCTCAGAGACCCCTGTCCCACTGATGCCGGCCAGCCCACGCTGGGTCCCACTGACCCCTGCCAGCCTGGGGACCCAGCCCCCCAACCCCCGCCTTCCCGGGGCCCCCAGCCT